AATAACTATTTGATTTGCCAATTTGTTTTTTATTTATTTCATTTAGGTTTTATTGTGTTGTCGGCTTTTGCTAATTTTCTGCCACTTTTTGTTAGCCAATGCAATTCGTTTTGCAATGCAAATGAAAATTGGAAATGAAAACATCAAACGACAACACCCACAAAAGTCACGTTAATACTCGGCAATTTCCAATTTCTGGATTTGGTATTCGTAAAATTGAATTTTTTTTTTTTTCGCTTTTCTTTGACTTTTCGTTTTTTGTTTTCTTGTTGATTTTTTGTTTTTCTACTTTGCCTGACAACGAGCGCAAACTGTTGTCGCGCCAAATGCAATCAAAAGCTAAAAATCTATTATTCAAGACATCCCCCTCCACTGTTTATTCTGATGTTTATACATACAAACATAGGCTTATTTTCAACATCGAACAATTGCAGTTATACGTATTTTGTCAACATTTATGTATAACAAAAATCAGCAGTATCAAAAAACAATTTTATTTGTTAGTATACATGAGGGAATTATATATTTTCACGATAGAGAACGTTTTTAATATTTATTGAAAATATTTCATCAAAAATAAGGAAAATAAAAAAAATCTATTGACTTTTAGTTGAGTGCATATAAAAAAATGTGTTTAGATTGCTTAGCTTATAAAGTTTATAAAATACATATTTCTTTTTTATTATATATTTTTTTGTTTATATAAATTTTTTTATTTGTATTTTCACAAGTATTATTTATTTGTGTTTTTTTTTTTTTTTTTTTTTTTTTTTTTTTTTTTTTTTTTTTTTTTTTTTTTTTAATTTAATATATTTTGATTATTATATTTTTAAATTTGATATTTTTTTTTTTATTTATTTTTAAGTCAAGGGTATTACTAAACTTAACCCAAGGTGATATATTAATTTTTGTTTATATTTTTTGTATGTAATAATTCCAATATTAATATCATTAGTTGTAGTTAAATGTATAAGACCGAAAGTTTTCTTGTAGCGCAACGCAACAAATTTCTCAACGCCTTTGTAAGTTGCAGAAGTGTTGCTGTTGTGGTAGAGTAGGGGCGTGACAGAGGCGGGGGTAAGGAAAGAAGTTCAGAAAGAAGGGGTCAGAATACTCAATGTGTCAGATATAGGAGTCAAGGATTTCTTTTTAAATTAAAAAGGGCATATTAGTTAAGGACGTGAAACTTTTGAAATAAGTACATAGATCTATTGTCATAAATTTCATAAGAAAATGTTATTTTATTTTATAATATGATATATATTATATTTTCTTTTTACCTCTATGCTTGTTTTAAACTGTGTGACTCAAATTTGAACGAGTATGAATCAGCCCATATGACATCGTTTTGTTATATATTTATTTTCTTTTTCAATACTTTTCGCTCAGTATTCTTGTTGTAGCTTTGCTCTTTGTCATTTCTCGACGGCGACGTCGACGACGGGTATGAATCGTTTGCTGCCAGTTGTGACAACAACTGAAATTGGAAAAAAGCGAACGAAGTGAAGTCTGAAACATGAAATAAAGATGAAGCGACTGTGTCGAACAGTTGAATCAGCCGAGTTGCCACCAGAATTAAGACATGACAATATGTGAGGGGAGCACTGCTTGGGGGGTTTCTTTTAGTTTTTCTTCATCTGGCCCTCTCTTCTTTTTTTTTTTTTTCATTTTTGTTTTCAGTAAGCGTATAGGAGGAATTAAAATTTGTTTGTCTGTTTGAATTGGAAGTCTTCGATATGCGGATTTTTGTTATCTCATATGCGCAGCAAGCAATTACACTGTGCGAAAATTAAATTATAAATTATTAATTACGGTGAATACCTATCAAGGGGAAATATTAATAAACAACTGTTATAAGTGTTTATTTTAATATTGATTTTATTATTATATTTTTGCTGTTGTTGATTTTTATATATATATGAAATTTACCATTTTATTTATGAAATTATTTTATTTTTATATTTTTGCTCAGCCTCTATTTTATTTTTATAATTACTTGGTATTTCAACTATACATTTTTATTATTTTAATTTTTTTCACTATTGTCACATAATTTATTTGGTGCATTTATTTATTTTATATTTTATTGACTTACTTTATTTTTGAAATTTGTTGTATTTATTGATTTTGTTTTCTAATAATTTGGTTTGTATATATTTGTTTATTTTATAATGTTACACAAACATATAGCTTTTGTCACAGCAGAACTAATTGTTCTCCCTAATATATTTGTCTTTGCTTCAATTGCTTGCAGTGCAGTCAGTGCGGACGCAGTAAGTCGTTTTTATGACTTATCTCCTGCTGTGCCGTTGTCTTTAGCTTGTCTGCTGCCAGGGGCCTACTGTTGCTGTTGCAGTCGACTATTTGTCTCCTTCAAATCGTAATCATTTAAATTGATTTTTCTTGTCTATGACGTCGTTCAACCTTCCAATCAACTCAAAGCCATTGAGCCAGGCTCTGGCTCGCTCTCCTTCTCTCTCTCTCTCCTTGCGTCGTCTTAATTGATGAATTTCTGTCTGTCGCCTACTGCTGCAGCTGGTTGATAGCTATCTTAGCCAATCTATCTATGCTCGCCCACACAACAGCAGCAGCATCTACGCTTTATGCTGGCTCTATTTCAGAAATTTCTTATCTTCTATTTTTGCTTCTTCGTTATTCTTTTGTTTTTATTTCTTTCTCTCTTTTTATTATTAGCAATTGACCCAAACTTGTCCTTCACTTTGTGGCCATTGAACTTTGACTTGGTCGTTAAATCGAGTCGACTCGAGTGGAAGATGCAAATAAATGCGTATTTTACCTGCAGAAATTTTGCTCAATTTCGAGTTGCAGCAGATTTAAAGCAATTACCTAAAAAAAAAAAAATTCTTATTAGTATTGCATGTCACATAAGGCATTGGGAGCAGCGAGGAAAGGCTTTGTTTGGTCCGATTGCCCTCGAGCCCTCTATAATTGAGATTGATGCAATTGCATCTAAAATTCATATGAATTACTTGAGAGTCTGGCTCCCCGGCTGCTTCGTTGGCACACACACATACACAGATACACACACTCACATACTCAGCTGTGAGTCTGTTTGCATTTTCGGTTAACCCTAACCGGTTTGTGCCGTTGCAATTGAGCCCAAATGACTCATAAACAGACTGAGCAGGCCAGAGCTCCGAGTGAAGTAATAACAGGGTGGACCACGTCCTTTGAATTTGAGGATTGTTATTCTTACATACTTAGAGAACAAAATTAATAAATACGTTTGTTTAAATTGTTTTTAAATATTATATATATATATATATATATATATATATATATATA